CCTGTGATCCCTGTGGGCTCACTTGGCATTGGGGATTCTACCACACAAAATCTAAAGCTGCACATAGATTGAGCAGCCTGTCACTTGTCGTATCTATTCATGTCTCTGTCGGGAAAATCTTGTCTGTAAAAGCTACGGCCTCTTGCTACTGTTGCTTACACTGTTCTCATCTTCGTTTTCAAGGTTGGAATATGGTGTTTTTAATGCTTTTCTTTCCTGTGATATCCTATTCCTGAGGTGACTGAATCACCTCAGAAATTTTTCTGGGATTTTGATGTACTTACTACATAAGATATGTGACAAGCCACACCACCCAATGACAGTGTCCCGATTCTTATAGAACATTTACCGGGTTGGATGATCCAAAAGTTACTCTGTTTTCTGATAGAGAACATGTGCAGTCTTTGGTTCATTGTGCTTGTTTCAGTTCTTGTGAACTATGCCTCTCTTTAGATATGACTTTACCCTATTATCTATGAACCTTGTGGTTTATCATGCTATTGTAAGTAACATGATTTGAATCATTCTGGAGGAACTTACCAAAAGATATATCACAATGAATGCTAAACTGGTGCTTGATTTATCTACCGAGTGAGAAGTCATCATCATCCCTGTTGTTCAGTGCTGAACTATATTTGAAGTTATCGGATGTTCTCTTACTTACCTGATCGATTGATCACCAGAATTATAGGCTTGGAAGAAGGTTAATTTCCATGGCAAGGGGGAGATTGACATCCAAAGTAGGATTCATGGGCTACTGAAGTGGCTTTGATAGATATTGTTAGGATGAAGATGATGACAATTTATGAGGATTTTTTTGTGTGTAATTTCATTCAGTGGGTTCTTCAATAATGGTGGTTATAGCAATATTATCTTAACAATATAATCTGAGTGCATCATTACATCATTCTGGAGGAGCCACATTGGCTAGCTTTGCCAAAATCTTTTTGACTGTGTGCATTCTGTAACTATTAGGTTGTCTGGTAGGACATGACAGAATGGATATTGGCACTTAGTGACAAGATGGGGATGGCTTGTACTCTTAAAGAGTCAATTATTCACCAACTTGTTCATCTCTCTCTCTATATATATATATATATAAATACACACAGAGATGAAGCTTCATTGATCGATATGGTGTTAACTTGTGACTATGGTTGTCCTTTCTTTTTCTTCGTTAGGTGGTAATGGAAGAAAGACATGCAAACAAGCTGTGGACTGTATCATCTTGGATTCTTCCTAGCCTCTCTCTCTCTCTCTCTCTCTCTCTCTCTCTCTCTCACGAGCATGAGGTCTTGCTTGAGGAAGTGAGAAAACGCGTACGTGCACCCTCTCAAGCGACTATGTCCAATGAATTGGACAGAGAGAGCCATCTATTTCATTTGTAAGACCAGAAGAGGAACCACTTGGGTGTTGTTGGCTAGTCCTTCTCTCTCCTCTCGTCCCTTCACCCACTGTTGGATAGCTTGGGGTGTGCGCCGACGAGCAACATCATGGAGCAAACAGACGAGTCAAGTACATGGAACGACCGCGCGAGTCATGAGCTCTTAACTCTTGTGGAAGACGGAGTTGCATGACACTGCCATGCCTTGGAGTTTATGTCGGCCGCCGTTGCCATCCTTCCCCGTCACCATATATTTCCTTTGTCTTAGAGTGTGGGCTTCAACAGCTAAAAGGATATGCAAACTGTTCTCCGCACTGTTAATCTTAGACTGCCGACTTCCTTAGATTCCGCCGTTTGCATGTTCCACAATATGATCCATAGATACCATAAGCCATTGTAGCTGTGCATGGAGGAATCCTGAAAGCTTCAAGCAAGTCTTCTTTGGTGGTTTTCATGTTTCTTTGGTGCATTGTAGCAGCAGATTGTGATCTTGACTTGGAGTGATCGTAAAGGATGTCATCGTGACATTCATTCCTTATACGCTCAAAGTGTATAGTTTTGCCATGGCATTAATTAATACCTTAATACATTAAGCATGTGCAAAGACCAAACTGCCCTTGTCACCTGCTTATAAGTTATGGTAAACCTCCTCTTCTTCTATCTACACGTCTAAATCTTAAGCTAAGAATTCTAGCAGGACATGGCTGTCTTACCTGAGACTGGCAGAGAGGGAGAAACCCTCTCCGACGCATGGGACTTCAAGGGCCGCCCCGCTGTCAAGTCACAGACCGGCGGCTGGACTTGCGCCTCCATGATCTTAGGTCGGACTACAGTTCTTCTTTTCCGTTGCCTGTCTCTGTTGAACTGGTAGTGACTTCACAGCACTGTGATGCACATGGGAAAGGGGTGGAGCTGTGCGAGAGGCTGACGACACTGGGCATCGCGGTGAACCTGGTGACGTACCTGACCGCCACCATGCACCTCGGCAGTGCCGCCTCCGCCAACGCTGTCACCAACTTCCTGGGAACTTCCTTCATGCTCTGCCTCCTCGGCGGCTTTGTCGCCGACACCTTCCTCGGCCGGTACCCTCGCTTCCCCATCTCCGTTCATCATGAACGGGTCGTGTAAGACTCGGTTTGTCGTCTTCATTCGCTTATTGATACTCTGTTTATCTATGTCTTCAGATACCTCACCATCGCCATCTTCACCGCCGTTCAAGCCTCTGTAAGCACTTTACATTCCCTCTCCGTGGGTTAGCTGCGATGTGTAGATTGCTACTGACTGAGATTTGTACTGAAGGGGGTAACTATCTTGACCATATCGACGGCTGCGCCGGGTCTGAGGCCGCCGGCGTGCGCTGATCCGTTGACCGGCGGTTGCGTGCGGGCGAACGGGACGCAAATGGGCGTGCTGTATCTGGGACTCTACCTGACGGCGCTCGGGACGGGCGGGCTCAAGTCGAGCGTGTCCGGCTTCGGGTCGGACCAGTTCGACGAAGGCGACGGAGCCGAGAAGAAGCAGATGCTGCGGTTCTTCAGCTGGTTCTTCTTCTTCATAAGCATCGGATCGCTGATGGCCGTGACCGTGCTGGTCTACATCCAGGACAACCTCGGCCGACGGTGGGGCTACGGCATCTGCGCCGTGGCAATCGTCCTCGGCCTGGCCGTGTTCTTGTCCGGCACCAGCAGGTACCGGTTTAAGAGGCTGGTGGGGAGCCCGCTAACCCAGATCGCCGCCGTCGTCACCGGCGCGTGGAGGAAGAGGTCCCTCGACTTGCCTGCGGACCCTTCCATGCTCCACGACGTCGACGCCGCCGGAGGAGATTGCACCCCCGGCGAGAAGAGCAGCAAGAAGAAGAAGAAGCAGAAGCTGCCTCACACCAAAGAGTTCCGGTAACGCTTCCACCCTCCTTCCTCCAATGCATATATATATGGTGACATGGCAGAAGCCAATTGGCTATACTCAAAGAAAATGTGACACACGTAGGTTGCTCATTGGTCCCATCCTTCACTCTTTCATGCAGTATGCACTAATTCTAAACTAAATCAAGCTGACATCTTCAACGCATCAAACACTCGATCATTGCTTGTGAAGAACGCATGGCCTTTCAGAGTACTCTGATTGGCTGTCCACCTTTCAATTCGTAATTCTAAACAGGCAAGTTTAGCCAATGTCAAGTGATGGCAATCGGAAAGTGAGAGAAAACCCAACCAATGTAAAAGGTAGAAGAAGACAAAAAGCAAGAAAGAAATGCTTCCAAAACCTCTGAACCTAACAACAAGCATGCCTTTCTCCGGTTGAAGCAAGTTGTTTGACTCTCTCTCTCTCTCTCTCTCTCTCGTGGTCGTGCATGGACTGATGGCGTTGTCTCGTTGAGACGTGCGTTTCCTTGCACAGCCATGAACGAATGACAAGATCAGTTCTGCAAGCCAGTCGGCCTCCAAGTCTTCGTTCATTCTTGCAAGATCATGTTTCCTGTCCCTTTAACTGCTTCTTCCTGTCACTTAATTTCCAGCTTCTTGGACCGGGCGGCCGTCGTGGAAGGAGACACCGCTGTGGAGCAAAGCAAGTGGCGGCTCTCCACCTTGACGGACGTGGAGGAGGTGAAGCAAGTGATCCGGATGCTCCCCACCTGGGCCACCACCATCATGTTCTGGACCGTCTACGCCCAGATGACCACCTTCTCTGTGTCGCAGGCCACTACCATGGAGCGCCGCATCGGCTCCTCCTTCGAGATACCCGCTGGCTCCCTCACCGTCTTCTTCGTTGGCTCCATCCTCCTCACCGTCCCCGCCTACGACCGCCTCGTCGTCCCCGCCGCCCGCCGCCTCACTGGGAACCCCCACGGCCTCACTCCCCTGCAGCGCATCGCTGTCGGCCTCGCCCTCTCCATCCTCGCCATGTGCGCCGCCGCGCTCACCGAGCGCAAGCGCCTCGCCGCCGCCGTGGTGCCCCTCAGCGTCTTCTGGCTCATCCCCCAGTTCTTCCTGGTGGGGGCGGGCGAGGCGTTCACCTACATCGGACAGCTGGACTTCTTCCTGAGGGAGTGCCCCAAGGGGATGAAGACCATGAGCACCGGGCTGTTCCTCAGCACGCTCTCGCTCGGCTTCTTCCTGAGCTCGGCGCTTGTCACCATCGTCCACCGGGTGACAGGGGAGAGCGGCAAGGGAGCGTGGCTGCCGGACGACCTCAACAAAGGGAAGCTCTATGACTTCTACTGGCTCCTGGCGGCGCTCAGCGTGGTCAACCTGGTGGTCTTCGTGGTTGCCGCGAGGGGCTACGTCTATAAGGAGAAGAGGACGGCGGACGACGGCACCCACGTGGTGGGGCTGGAGGACGAGGTCTGCTGCCATGCATGAGCAGAATGTGGCACTCTTTGCCTATGTACCATGAAAGAAGCTGTTCCAATAAGTAAATGGCTTTACTGCTCTGTCATGGTGTTCATCCACTCAAATTGAGTCATACCTTTGAGGAGGACCTTCTTAACTATCTAGGGCACATCCAAATTAAACCTAATCAACATTATTAAGTATGTCCTAATTTCATGGTAAAATGAAGAACACAATGTTCATCAATATATCATTTCTAAGAGCACACAGAATGAGTTGTAGATGACAAGTACTCCAAGGTTTGTATTGATGAAAAATGCATGACAGTTGATCACAATGAGTTTGAGAACAGGGAGATGACAAATGGTTATTCAAATAAAATGCAGTGTCCCAAAGCAAATTTGAGAAAAATGGGGAGCATAAGAAGGAAGCCAAGGCATGAACCAATTGAAGTTTACAGATCTGAGAAGAACAGAAGCCAGCTTCAACTTGTGATAATGGAGATAAAATCCTCTAATGTACACGAACTGATACGAAGAAGAAGGATCGTCAACGCGACTCCACCAGTACGTATAATGGCTTACCATTTAATTTTTCTCGACCCTGCACATGAATTCCGAATCACAAAATCAATCCAGTGATAGGTTATAGCCATTAGAATACAATCAACAGCCCTATGCTAGAATATAATTAACAAACCAGATCTAGCAACTTAATTTTTTTGGTGAACCGATACTAATTAAATACTATGCCAAACCATGTCACGTCTATCGGTTTAAACTTTTAGATCAACACATAAATGTCATCTATAGATACTAACCGTGTAGGTCAGCCAGTGATTAATGGATTATTTCCACACAAGAAATATTAGTGACAGATCACATGGGTAAAAGATGCATGTTTCCTGTGCTTATGCTATTTATTATTGATATCGATCATAGATGTTGCTTTGGAATAAACAAATTATCTATAACCTGCTTTCTTCCTTGTTCTGAATCGATAAGCTTTAAGCTTGCAGCAAATTATATAATCATGAACTAGAACATCAACTTAAAGCAAGCATGAAAACAGATCCAGGATCAAGAGAATAAGGCATCTAACGCACCTTGAGTTCTGGAAGTTCAATAACACATGCACATTCAACCACCTCAGCCCCAGCACGCTCTGTGATTGAGATATATCAAAATTAGCAAAAAGAAGAAAAGGGCTAGTGTAGTGCAAAAGAAGAATTTGATTGTAGAAGTTAGACCAGGAAATGCAAATGCTGCAGCATTGGCAACTGTGATAAGATTTATCATATGACAATTTCTGATATATACATAGAACTTCGGCAAATGTATTTGTTTCGACATTTTCTGTCACATGGAGAATCATAGGTTAGAGCATTATCCGACATAGCATTTTAATTTTTCCAAGGTTTTGGCAAGTTGGCAAACTGATCTGAGGGAAGTAAATTCTGTTTAAGAAACTTTCCCTAACCAAGCACAAGGGATGGATATATCTTATTATTCATGGCCTCAGCATATCTTGCTTGGAAATAAAAGTCTAAGAAACTATCTGATCTTAAAGATAAGCACCAAGGATCTAGGTCGCATTAACATGCATTATGAATGTCCAACCTATCTTTGTGTTAACTATCAAGAAAGCAGCAAAGACAACATCATGTACAACATATTATCCACACCAAGTTTATGCTAGAACATGAACATCTAAAATGTGAAAGTATCAGATATATAATCATAAGTTTATACTAGAACAAACATATCATACACAACATATGACACGCACCAAGTAAATTCATGGCAGCACAAAGAGTTCCCCCAGTTGCTATCAGATCATCAACAACCAAAGCATGGTCACCAGGTTGGACTGCTCCGACATGCATTTCAAGACAATCAGTCCCATATTCCAGAACATACTTTTCTGAAATGACTTCACCTACACATTTTATAAGGAAGAACCTGTGTCAGTATATAAAAGACCATAATCTATTACATGGAGGAAAAGAAACTGAAGATAAATTCAAATCTGCTATCTATAAAGTGGAACCAAGTTAAATTCCAGTAATCCAATATGGGATTACAGGCATACGAAGACCATATTGCATCTCTCTACAAAATTGACTTTGAATAAGGATCTTTTGTATAACATGTACAACAATTATTTAACTAACATAAGTTCTAAATTAGGGTACACAGGTAGTTTTCTTAGCAAAATGTCATATTTATTTTGAATTAATTAAATTTCATTATTTTTTTCATATTCATCTGTATATATTTTTCATCTTTTATATTCTATTTAAATACAATTTAAAAAGTTAGATATTTTATATAATTTTAAGGTAAAAATAATATTATAGTAAAAATGTTATCTTCAGAATTTGATATATTTGTTCTCATATTTATATTATTTTTAATTCTTTTATAATTTTTAACTGTTTTGTTGAGTGACCCTAATCCCATTTATCTGATCTTACCACCTGTGTCAATACCAATAGTAACAATCGCATCTGATTCTATCGATACAAATTTTGTGACTACGCAAACAAGGCCCTACGGCATTTTACCTTTTTGTTCACTAGGATGCTTTAGTCACTCATTATTTAGTAATTTTCTATAATCTACATTTTACATGAAGACTATAGAAATAATTAGCTGTTTTTTTTAAGTGTCAAAATAAATAGAACCAAATATGATCAATGTAACTTGCCCATTATACTCAAGAGATCCTCCAACTAGATGAATCTTCATACTCAACAGAAAATGAAGTACCAGGTAACTTTCTTGGCTTCCTCAAGGGAACGAACTTTGCACCAATTGCCAAAGCAATCGGGGGACCGAATATAAAGCCTCTAGCCTCAATCCCTGTCACAAGGAAGGAGACTATCATAAAGATGTTTAAAATTGTGCATGGATTCCAGCATTATATCCAAAGAAGAAGCATCTACATCTGATAGAACATCGGAACATTAAAGCATAAAATGTAGAAGAGGAGAAGCAACAAAACATGAGGTTCACAATAATTATATATCTAGAACACTCACCTTTTCAATCTTCTATCCAATTTTAGGTAAGTATTTAAATGAGCAAAAGAATTATGTGATGAACAAGACAACAAAAGGTCAATTACAGAGATACAAGATCACAAACTTAGACAAGAGTGGAGTGGATTCCATAAGAATGAACATTTGGAAGTGCACAAACTCAGACAAAACACAATCTGATATTATATGCTTTTCCAATGGGCTTTGGTCTCCTTCTATCTCTCACACTCACAGTTAACAAGACATAAACCAGCTGATACTTGAACCGTACAGACTATGCTTTGCTGTTAAAGAAAATTCAGCGGACCCTCCTGCAAGGCAAGGAGGATAGCATCTGACAATAAACCTCGCGTTAACCACTATGTGAACTCTATTCTTCATTGTTGTGCCTCATGACATGTAATGCGATGAATGGTCAAAGTGATTGATGCTGACGTGGTGCCCTACTGTTGGCTCCATTGTAGATGGAATCTACTAATTAAAATTTTTGTCCTTCATTGGGTAGGGTCATGTCCTCAAGCACCTCGGAATCCTATTCAGTAGAATTAGATTATATCTTCCCACTGATGTGCCATGCTTACTTTTCCAAGTGATGTAGTCATATAGTATAGTAAATTTAGATTAGGTACTCAGTTAGTGTAGCTAAAAGCATATTCATCATTCAATAAAATACAACATCAAAGCATATTTCGGACTTAAAAGGGATCTTCAATTGAGAATTTGCTAGCGAGGATAAGGTTGTGTACATCGAACCTCTCAAAACTCAACATTAACAAATGCATCGGTTGCCTTTCAGGCTTTCACAACGTCAAAGCTGTGATACAACATCTGATCTAACCACTCCACATCCTATTATTTTCATAAATAATTACAAAATGGTAACAATCATTTTTCAAAACTGCATAGTGCACATGCAATATGTAGCCACAACTATGATTCGATTGAAATAACATTGCATAAATAAGAAAATATAAGATCAAGTTTAAACTACTGATAGGAACACACACACCAAATAAAAAAATTACAGGATGTTATTTGTGCTAATATAAAGTGCTAAATTAAAACTCTGTTTGGGATCAAATGAGTTCCAGAAAAGAAAACTTGTAAATCTGATTTCACCAGGACACAACAAATGCGCTAAGGGAACAAAAAATCTGTTCAACTCTCTGATCACAATCGTACCAACCAAATCCAAACAGTGAAGGTAAAGCACAGACAACAGAGAAACAGAATATAGAGGCCCCATCCAACAGTAGCAATTCTTTCACCAGTTTGCATCAAAACAGGGGACCAATGTCTGCATCAAACAGCCAGCTCCACGAACAGAGCTGGAAATGGAGACCAAAAGTGATGGCAGTCAGCTGATCACAAGGTGGTCCATGATAACATGGCCACTGAGACGGCAATGCAGTCACCAAAAAGCATACCCAAAGTTTCTCCATGAAGGAAGGGACCGACATTTTCACAAACAACTAGAGGCAACAAGAACTGGTAGCATCAAGGAAGAAATCCATGGCTAATTCTTAGCAACAAGTAAAGATCTGCATGTATGTTGACATTACGGAGCTAATGAAGACAGGGAGATCAAGAAAGTTACCAGCGACAACGGAGACATCCTTCCCGATGTACCGCTCCACGAACAAGTCCACCGTGTTCTTGAAGGCTTTCGGGTCGAGCAACAGGGTGGTGATGTCCTGGAACATGATTCCTACCATTTGTTGATGCATGATTTTAAACAAGGTCAAATCTCGGGCATCAAGATCCAATCTTTTTAAGGAAAAGAGCAGAAATAAGTAGAAAGGAATACGAGGCTGCAGAACGGGTTCAAGAAAGCAGAGGCATCGAGACTCCATCTTTATGAGCAAAAGAAGAGCGAGGAGTTTCCATTTTAGGGGGAAAAAGAAGACAATAGAGCGTGGGTTCAGAAAACATTTGAACAGATTCCATGTTTATGAAGAACAAGAAGAACAATCGATAAAGAAAATGGCGTGAGAGTGAGAGACAGAGAGAGAGAGAGAGAGAGCAATGAGGACGACCAGGGGGAGGAACGCCATGGCGGAAAACAGAAGCAGTCTTGGGAAGAAAGCAGGTACCTTTCTTGGGAAAGTCGGGGACGACGCGGATGGAAGCCGCTATCCCTCCAATGCGAGGGTCCTGCTCCCCATCCTTCCCACACGCCATTGCTCCCCACCACTGAGCTCTCCTCTTCTCCAGGGCAACCTCAGGTTTAAGAACCAAGAAAGAGAACTTGCAGACCTAAAGGAAGAGTAGACAGCTCTGTAGAGAATTATACACAGAGAGAGAGAAGCGGAAGTGGTGATGGATGCGTATGGGAAGGAGCGAGGGACAGAGGTTGGTGAAGTGCAGTGACGCGCGGCGCACGAGAAAAGAAGAGTCGCTTAAAAGCAGCAACGAGAGAGAGAGAGAGAGAGAGAGAGAGAGTCGGAGGGATTTGATTGGCCTTCCTCCCTCTCTCTCCTCGCTCGATAGGCCGCAACCGAGAGGGTATCACGAGGGAGATCTCCTCCTCCCTCCGTCTTCCTGCTCCCTCTTAGCCGTTTCAACTTTTGAAGCCGAAGGGTACTTCACCCGTTCCGCTGTACTCCCACTGACGCAGCTCCGAAGCGGTCCACTGCACTGCACGCCTCATGTGTGGCCATGGCGAGCGCTGTAGAAGATGCTCTCCTCCATCGCCTCTCTCTCTCCCCCCTGTCCAATCGCAGCTTATCGAGGTAGGCCCAATCAACATGCATCATTGTCGGATCACCTAATCACAACTTCGATCAGGTTGCGCGGGAGTCTTTCTTTAGTCTCGAACAGCATCTCCACATTGCTACCCAATGCTTGTTGCTGTCCAATCTTCCATGATCACCTTCAACTATGTCTAGCCATTGTCCTCTCTCTCTCTCTCTCTCTCTCTCTCTGTGCACAGAACAAAGATCATTGATGAGCAGGAACAACGCCGAATCGTTTCGACCAGGGCGGATTCTGGGGGACGCCCCACCCTGCGACCCAATCATCCGCCCATGGCCGTGCCCTCATCAGTCGCCCGGGCCACTTGCCAAGCACCAGCACGACAACTTGCAGGAGCAGAGCAAGCGGGCGAAGGCCACCATTGAATTCTCTGGATTCGGCTCACCACCGAATCCTCCTCCGGTACTGCCTGTCCTCACCACCGACAAGACATTAGGATAAATGGCGCTGTCAGCTGCATCACCAACCCTGCTCGAAGAACACAGTTCTGCCAGATGATCGGCACAGCCAAATCATTGTCCGCAAACAATGCTCATCACATATGTCACTGCTCAGCTGCCACAGTCGACGTCCAGTTCATGGCATTAGACAACTGTGAAGGTGATGACGGATGCTTGGAAAGCTTCAGCTCTACGATGATCATAGTATAGACTCATCTAGCTCGACCTCCTACGGTTTCATCACCATAGTGCTGATCACAGTTTGGTTCCAACCCACATCGAATCATATTAGAACAGTAACAAAAGTAGCTCGATGGCTCGTTGGGACCAAACCATATCAAGAACCAATCCTCTATGATTCGATTATGATTCCTAAAATTCAGAAATCGAAATCGTCAACTTCAAAACCGGGAAATGATTTAGATGACGACAATGCTCTCTCATGCAATGGACTAAACATTATAGTTGTTATTTATATGGGGAATAGAATAAGATATCTCTTGAGACAGATTAAAGATTGAGTTAGGAGAAGCAGCATGATAAGGATAATAATACATGGATATGGTCAACCGACAAGCCCTGCACGTACACCGAAGCTTCTTTACAGGTTCGATCAGATGGGGAAGAAAACTAATGCAAACCTTAACCACTCTTGGCATCATCTACATAAAATAATGTTAAACCATTACTCAATGCAAGTATGAAAGAAACGAGGTAAAGCAACAGCAGATAGAAAGAAGGTATAGTTATAGAACCTAGTTCATCTTTTCGATTCACGAATCAGATCATTTGTGATTTATAAGGTTTAAGATGCATTCAACCTTTTTCTTTAGAATTAAATATGATAGGACATATTTTGACACGACTTACATGACAATGAATGACAGCCACCTCGTCATTCATGGTGCACATGTACTAACAAAGTTCGGATATGAGAGCGATGTAAGTCATACTCATGTCGCTTGGATCGAGGCGATACTGTCATACATTGAGCCATTTGCGATGATGCAAGATGATGCCGCATGGCGCGGTGCCGTGCAGGTCAACTCGTGCCATGCAGAAAGCTTGGGTTGACCTCCTGAGTTATCATAGATCATTAATGAGCTTTGTACGACCGTTCCTCCGACAAACATGTATAAAAGCCAATCTTCTCTCAACTAATAAGGGGACACACCTCAAACACTTATATACCATCTTGAGCCGACTTAAACTTCGAATGAGTCGATCGAGAATTCCCCTCCTGACGTTGACCTTCCTTGGCAGGAAGAAGCGAAGGTTCGCCTCGGCTTGACCGATGAGGTGCTCCCTAACCCGACTTGGTTCTTCCGCCACATCACCGAATCCTCGTGAGGGCAACCTTGCACCTTCGGGACGAAACCTAATCATGTCGACTCCTCTGCCACGACGTTAAGTTTCATAACAAAAGACATTTAAAATAATTAAAGAATGAAAAAAAATATTTTTTAATAATTAAAACTTTCTAATCCTCTCAACATACTATTTACTCTTCTGTCATCGCTCTTTATTATATTAAAAATTTAATTTTTAATCAACTTTTTTTTTTTTTTGAATGACACATCAATCAACCAATGATATGAACTTGATATTTAGTCTGATTCGATTATGAAAATTACCTTAGAAAACCCTTTACAAATTAATACAGTTTTCTTCTTTTGATGTAGTCCTAATCACTAGTGATGGATATTAGAAATTGTGTTTATCGACCCTACGCAATATCGTAGCTAACATGTTAAACAATTGATACTGTCATACAAACGCTCGATCATGTGGTTTAATTCAATGTAAAGCGAAGAATTTTATCTATATAACAAAAATCATTGATTGGATTGAATACACAAAATTATTTTGTGTGTTTAGGTCACCAAAGTAATTGACATCCCTCTACTTGGGCATCTTAAATTGAGTGCATTGAATGGGTGGCCTCTTCTATCCTCCTCACACAAGTAGGTTGGTACAAATTTTGTATATGAAGAATCTATCTTGAAGCTACTAATCACTTTTAAGTTCTCATCCTTACAATTTATTTCTCAGTATTATATTAAAAGTAATATTGGTTATAACACTGAACATAATGTTCTTATGTAAGTTTAGTTTTCTTCTTAAAACCATAAATCTTTTATTTATATGCACTCATACTATCAACCAACTGTATCATTCTTTTGCAAAAACATGAATTTTATGTACATTATTAATTAGCTAAAACATATGCATAGTTGTTGTTTTCTAACATCTAGTAATTAAGTATTATATTTCATCTCTTGGTGGTTCCATTCCTTATAAAAACTCTGAACAAAATGATTTAGTAGATAACAGGGACAGGTCATATGTTGGTGGCATTGTAATTTTAGCTATTTCTCATGATATCATGGAATCATAGAAACACTTCAATCAAGCAACACAGACAATCATCATTCTAGTTGAAGAGTATATGTAGGCTGATAGGGCACATTTTAGTAACTTGCCCTCCAACCACTCCAGGTCAGCATAATAAACTACGCCACCCAAATACAGCGTCGTCCCGCGAAGATCAGGACGGGTCGACCAAGTACAGTACTATCCCGCGAAAGTCAGAACGATACCGCCCAAGTACAATGCCATCCCGCGAAGATCGGGACGACCCCGACCGAGTACAATGCTGCCCCGCGAAAGTCGGAATGACATCGCCCAAGTACAGCGCCATCCCGCAAAGATCGAGATAGCGTCGACCGAGTACCGAGCCATCTCGTGAAGGTCGGGACGACATCGAGTACGACATCGTCGTCCGACGCCATGGTATGGAGAACACCCCACATAGGCTCTAAAAGTAAGCCGGCCGCCCGATGGGTCGACGATCATGAATATGACAGGTACGATCGGTCCCCTAATGGAAGGATAAACAATCATTGTGGGACTGACAATAGGGGATCAGTTCTTGGCTTATTTTCCACATAGTTCTAACAAAATATTCGGAAGGGTTGAAGTTGGGAGCCCCCTTCCTGACCCCGACCTATGTGTAGGGACCGGGGATACAGCGGGAGGCGGCCAGCCAAAGGGAGATTCTGAACCTAGAAGCCAGAGCCCGACCTCACTGGACAACGATCCCCGCTACCCGAGTACCAACGTGGATGATCTTGTGCACCCGGGATTGAATCAAGCCGTGTTGACTCCCTCTACTACGGTGTAAAGGAACACTATCATAGGCATCAGCTTTCTGTTATTTCTGAAAGAATATTTTTTGTCATGCATAATAGAAAAAGGTTAGAAGATGATAATGAGATAGCTAGCAACATGGCCCCAAGTATGTAAAAGTGGGATAATAATTGAATTAAATTATGAGGGTTCGATAGATAGAATATTATTAACTTGAGTGTATGCATTTTAGATCTATGATTCGGACTCATCAAATTATGTGTCAATATCTCATCATGTTAGATGGTGATATGTTACATAAAATACAAGGATCCAAAATGCACCTTAACTTCACATCTTCCTTATAGCATGAGACCCAGAATACATCAATGTACTTTGATCTTATGTATATAATTCCTTTCGAATCGAACACCATACCATACTTAGTACTTAACTCAATCAGGTGATTAATTCATTAAATTAGGGATAGCAAACCCTTTTATAAACCAATTTCAACCTTTTATAAACGTTACAAAGGAAATTGAAGTTGATATCTTTGAAGAGCAACAAAGGATTCATCCAAAACAGTGGATAGTTTTGAGGCACTAAAACAGATTGGGACTGCTCATTCCTTCTTTAAGGCATCGAAAGGGACTGTGTTAAATGGACCTCACCATTCTTAAACGCTGTAAAAGATAATGCCACTTCTTATGGACTTCACAAGTGGCATATATTGACTTAGCTAACGACATGTTATCTTTTAGTTATCCAAATTAACTCCACACTCTTTTATATAACTAACTCTAATGTACGACATGATTGGTAGGTAAAGCTTGACGTGTCAGTAAATTGAGGTTTTTCACCCCAAATGGATGTCGTTATATTTCATCAATATTACTGTAAATTTCACTAACTCGAAATGAAATTATATTTTTTCTATAAAAAAAATTAATTTAAAAATGTCATTAAAAATAATTAAAATCACCTTTTTTTTCTCTCTCTATATAGTAATTTTAAAAATAATTAAAAAAATTTCAGTTGGTTAGTGCATTTGAGGTAATGAAAATGTCTTTCAATTTTTTTTAAAAGGAAAAAAAATAAAAATCACTGTAAAAAATGGTTTCAATCACTCCTATTCAGAAATCACTTTTTTGTTCAAGTAGTTGAAATCCGAATTCAATTCGTTTTGGTCAAAAAACCAAAAATTCCAAAATATAGAAAAGAGACGTATCTGGACCGTTCGATCAGCTATCAGACGGCTGCAGATGCTGCTGATGCTGCTCTTCCTCATCCTCACCGACCAGGACGAGCGGGTTCGTCCCCTGCTCCATCGCTTGCACCCGCCTTCGGATGCGCCGCAGGACCCCCTCGATGGCCAGATCGAACGCGTCCTTCCGCGCCCGCAGCGCAGTGGAGCTCCCGTGCCGGCGGTACATGACGGCCGGCGCCAGCTCCAGTACCGCATTCCTCATCCGCCGCACCCGCGCCCGGGGTATCGCTTCCAACACGTCGGCGATCCGCCG